ATCTATATATATAATCACCGTAATCAAGAAATGAACGTTTTCCTATCATCTTAATGTTAAATTTTATTTTTTCTATCAACTTTTCTATCTTCTTAATGTTAAATAAATCGATGGAGACTATATCTCTCTAATGTTAAATTTTAAGAAAATTTTTTATACATCACGGGATTTTAACCTATGACTTAACGTTTTAAAGGCATACGTTCTTCCACTGAGCCACCTTCTCTTTCTTATATATGTTATTATTATTTTGCTATCAACATTTATTTTTCAATTAATTTATATAATTTAGATCTTATTGTGTTATATTAAAAAGAATACTAACCTCACCTCAAATTATGGTAAGAATGAATATTATTAATTTAAAATAACAAATTAAATTATATTTAGCCAATTGAAAAATAAACATTTATCTCATATTAATTTTAGAATATATATTTATATTCAATCAATGTAAAATTTATTAATTTTTATAAAATTATTTTTATATTACAATTTAGATTTAACAAATAAATTTAAATTATTTACCACCCCAAAATATGGCAGTAAAATTTTTTTATCTCAACCACAATATGGGAGCTCTGCAAATAGTATAAAATACCTATTTATCAATATCTTCCCATGCCAGAAAACTAACCTCCCTCACTAATCCTTAGTACTTATTACAATTTAGATTTAACAAATAAATTTAAATATATTTAGCCAATTGAAAAATAAACATTTATCTAATATTACCTTACCACCTCATATGCCAGTATAAAAATTTTATCTCAACAACAATATTTGAACTCTGAAAATAACATACAATACCAATATATCAATATCTACCCTACATTTTTTATTACAATTTCATATATTTTACGCTAAATTTAATAAAATAAATAAATAATCACTAAAATTTGTCATTTATTTTATATAAAAAAATGTATTTAAAAAAAATTCAAATAATACTAAAGAAACTAGTATATTTATAATTATTTATTCTAAATAAAACTATATTATTTTTTAACATGGCTTATATATTAAGTTAAAATATATAAATATTTATTTATATTAAATTAAATTTAAAAAAATATTTATCATAAAATTTTGAACGAACGTGAACGCGTTCCTTTTTTTTGAAAGTGACGTGAACGTGAACGCGTTCTATTTTTGTTAATGAACGTTGAATGCGAACACGTTCGATTCTAATAGAAATGTTTACAGCACTAGGAATTACTTTATATTTGTTTCATAAACTTTTAGTTTGAAGATATAAAGAGAGTTATCAAAAATTTCAAATATTCCCAATCAAAGATTTAACCACTGACTGGTGAGATTTCCCTATCAAACAATTTGTTATTAATTATATACTCTATTCCACTTATAGAAGTCGGGACATAGGCCTAGCTGGGGAAGGGGATGGTATCAAAAGGAAATCCTCTCTTCGGAAATTTGACTGTTCTTGAAAATATCATCTTAAGCTAATAAAAATCTTCCTACACCCCTACCCAACCCCCTCTCCCCAAACAATGTATTCATCAATATAAAGAAGAATTTGAAAGAAAAATTAGTCAAAGTTAAAAATTTTAAAAACTATAATTAAAAATTTAAAATATAAAAGCATTTTTATAAAAAAAGAGAAAACCCAAAATTATTTTTATAAAAATCTATAGCCAAGGTCCAACAATAAGTGGACCTAAAGATCCCTAATAAAATTTATGGGGAAAATCTACCCAATAGCCCCTCTCCCCTCTTAGCAAAATCCTGTACGCCTACGAGCGGGAGTAAGCGCTCACGTGCTCAGCATCTTTTTTCACCTATTTCTTTGAGCCTTCACCATTTACTTTAACCATATGAATTATATAAAGGGGATAGAGCATCCATTCTTTTCTTTTATTCATCAATATCAGCTAATCTTTTGTGTTCTACATATTTGCAAACTATTCATTTTATACGTTTTTTAATAATAGCCTTCTCTAAATGCTCTCCAACTCTATAAAAATGTTTATTATCTCAAACATTTGTTTTATTACATGGATATTGTTGAGAATCTGTCGATTCTTTTTATTTATTATTTCAAAGCTAATTGAATTTTTTTTTAAAATTATAAACTACTCTTATAAAAATGTAAATTTAACTTTCAAACCGGAAACGCATTTTTTTGAAATAAAAATGAAAAAACCCCAGCAGACTGTCTTGAGAAAGGAGAGAAATCGGATTGCTCTAACAACATTAGAAGCTGAGCTAATGGTTAAATAAAATTATAATATGTCATGCCAGGAATTTTATAAATATCTCAATAACAATGATATACGTTTAGTTCCATTATTTAAATCTCAAATAAAATATAATTAATATTATTTTCCATTTCTTTTTATATTTTATAAAATCTTATTTATACATTCGCATCTAGCGCGCTTAGCGCGCTTCTTTTTTGGTAGCTATAGCCGCTACTTTTTTTAAAATTATTTAATTTTTTAGCGCGCTACTTCGCTACTTTTAAAAAATATAATGAATGTAAGTATAAACATGAAAATTTAAATATAATATCATAATTAATTATAATTTTTATAATTTATTATTTAATTTTGAAATTTAAATATAATATCATAATTAATTATAATTTTTATAATTTATTATTTAATTTTGAAATTTAAATATATTTTCAATTTTTAATTTATATTTTCAATCTGTGTTAATAATCTAAAATGGCATCGCCCATGGATATCCAAATCCTTGAAAGTGATTCAGAAATGGAAGATTCAATGGAAGAAAATGTACTTAATAGCTCTAATAACGATTTCCCATTCCCTAGATTTGAAAAATTTTTTAAATAAATATTAAAACAAAATCTGGATTCAAATTACTGTGCTTAAAATGTAAAAAAAAATATATCATCAAATCAATCGAGTAGCTATAACCTGAAGAAACACCTATAGGTAAATTGTTATTTTTACATTATAATATTATTTATTTTATTAGGCTGTTCACGCCAATTGCTATAAGGAAATAGAAAAACATATAAAAAAATTTTGGTATAAGAGAATCTTCATTCAAAAAGACAAATACTATCCAAACCAAATTAACTGATAATAAACATGCCAATATTTCACAAAAATTGGCTGATAAAGTAATTGTTGATTTAATTATTGACACAGTTCAGCCATTGTCCTTGGTTGATAATCCATCATTTACTATGATGATTAAAACTTTATCCCCTGGCACAACAGTTTTATGTCGCCAGACACTTATGAATAAAATAGCCGACAACTTCAAAGTGATGAAAGATGCTCTAATAGTAGAGTTATCAGATATATCTTATGTATGTACACCGGCACACATAACAGAAGGTAAAAACTTATTTATATTTATAAATTGATCTGATTAAATATTTTTAGAGCTTCCTTGCCCTCAAGTGCTAGTGTCGAGAGATTATTTAGTAAAGCAAAGTTTATACTTTCTGATCGTCGCTCTGGACTTGGGAATGATAATATTGAAATGATATTATTATTAAAATGCAACAAATTAAAATAAATATTTATTTATATTGCTTATTTTTTTATAATCTAAATTAACTATATTTTTATATTTATAAATGTTGATTTTTATATATTATTTATTATACATTTAAATTATAAGCAAAAAAAAAATAAAAAAAATTTGTTTCATTTGTTTCTAAAATTTTTTTTATAAAAAGTAGCTTAAAAGTAGCTAAAGCTACTTTTGAAAAAAAATAGCTAATAGCGCGCTACATTTTTTGACAAATAGCGAAAGCGGTAGGGCGCTACTTTTTTTGACAAATAGCTATAGCGGTAGCGCGCTACTTTTAAAAATAGCGTTTAACAACTCTGGTATTTAGTTGCATTGTTATTTTTCATATTTTATTCCCTTTTTTTCATTTTTTTTTCTTTGGCTATAGTCGATACTAAATAGTCCCATTTTCATTTTTTTTCTGATCAACATTAAAAATCGACATTTGCTCGGAGCTTCATGAATAAAATGAAAATCTATTTTTATTGTCAAGTCCGCCTCTGGGTTTCACTGGTAAAATAGAATCCATTTTAAAAAATATTTTGAAATTTTTGGTTAAAATTTTTTCAAAAATTCGATTGATTTTTCTGAACCCACCTTGAACAGATCTTTTGCCGAACCCGTTTAAAATCGAACCGGATTCACAAAAAATACCACCACTCGGTAATATTAAGAGTCAAAATGTTTATGTTATAGATTTATAGAAGCTGATTATCATCATATAAATTTAATTTTTTTTCTACTTTATGATGCCATGAGAGCAGCTTTGATTTAAAGGTTTCTGAAGATTCTACCATTTCTACCATGGCTAGTGCTATAGTTTTTAGAATATAAAAATTTTATTTTATTTTATCACTTTGTGTTTTGATAAAATATTATTGATGACAAGCTTGGCTTGGGTAAATGTAAACCACATCAAAGGATATTGGGTTTGCAATGAATCAAATTCAATTGGAAATATAATGTATAATTCAGTTGTGAAGTTCAATTTAAGTTAACAACTTTTATAATTTTCTAATATTATTAGATAATTACACTAATTTTTTGAATGTTTTTTCTAAGGCTCAATATTTCATGAAGGAGAAAAATTTACCTTCTAATTTTGAAAGATCTAGACTTCAAATAATCCAAAAAGGAAGGGTATACAAACTTTCATTATTATATATGATATTTGATTTATTTGATAGTAATAAAGTTTAATGAAAGATTTAATGATGAATCAATGTAATTTTTAAATCAAACCTCGTTTTTTACACCAAAGGTAATTATTGAAAAGACATTTATTAGAGATGACACGAAGATATCTGTAAATATGACTACTTGGATTCGAATCAATTTTTCAACGAAATTTCTAACTTTCGAAATATTTATATGATGGCGAAAAGGGAAGATGTATATAGATGACTGGGAGTTAAAGAATTAAAAGACTTATCAGGGTCTGATGTACATATTTATTTTATTATAATATTTATATCAATATATACTTCTAATGATAATGATTTTGAAACTTGTCAATAATTCAGACTGAAAAAACTATTCTTTTATTAACTTTATAGTTTATTTTAAATTTTTTACTTTCCCTAATTTATAATTACATAAATATATATTAACTATTTCTATAACCTCATGCACTGGCAAGAGGGTGAAGCAAAATAAAACTAATAAAAACAAAACTTCATAGTTATATGAAATATCCATTTCTTAATAATTTAACCATTTATCAATGGAACAAAATTTATTTAGACTATTAAATATTGGCGAAATTATAACTTTTTTCGCCTTTTCTCCCTAATTTGTCTAAATTATTATTAAAAAAATTTTTTTTTTACATTTATTCATTTCCAATATTAAATATTTTTTTAAAGTTTATAATATTTTTAAACATTTCTTAATTAATATTGGTTATATGGTGGTGTTTGCTATTTAAGAATACAAATTTATGATCCATCATATTTAATAAATTTTATTTATACTAAATATAATGGATCCTTGATATTTTTACAGTTTTTATATATTAAAGACTTAGGTAATAAAAATTATTTTACACATTATTTTTTGAAATTTATAATTGAGGGTGAGTCAACTATTTCCTTTGTTAGTGGTATTTTAGGTAGTATTCTGCTTCCTTAGTTTATGGGATGTAGGGGCCACACAGCATCCCCCCCCATCGTCATAGAAGGGATTATATATATAAATATAATTGTTACATATTTTATAGATGGAGCCCCATGAGTATTCCTATGTACCATAAAACAATGCCCAACGTGCCCTGTTTTTGTTTCACTCGAAAAATTCAAATATTTTAAAAATTTGAATTATTTAAAAAAAAAATTAAGATATATAAATATATTAAGTAGATAAGTTAGTTAGTTATCATTTGTGAAATTAAGATATATAAATATATTAAGTAGATAAGTTAGTTAGTTATCATTTGTGATTTATTCATCGATGTTAATGCTTACAGATTTTATGATCACATAGAATTTCAAAAAAAAAACGATAAATATTGTTAGAAAGAAAGACTTTACCTGGTTTTACAGTTTGGTTAAACATTCTTCTTCTGTACCAAATTCAGATTTTGATATGTCTATTGGTAAAACATCTGTTGATCCCGTTCCAGATAATATGAGGTTGATGGGTTTTCGAGTGAAAAAAGCTATCATGCCTTATGTTTTTTTGGATGAAGTTTAAGTATATAAAATATAAGTACTATAGAAAAGTAAATTTCCATTATTTGAGAAATCAAAATAATTATATATCAATTTTTTTTTATCTGTGCACCAAAACTGGGGGGGGGGGGGTTATGATGCAATAACTTTATTAGAATCATATGACTATTTTGGGTTACCCTTCAGTACCCCATTTATGAGCACCACGTTATCCCTCCTAATTTTAAAATAATTTTTTCGATTTTTATTAATTCTATCCCTCCACCCCCCCCCCCTCCCATTTTTCCCCAACCCTTTATTATTTTAAATAAAAAAAAATATTGAAATTTTTATACTTATAAGTTTATATTATTTTTTTAAATTGGAAATCAAAAAGTCATTTATATTCCTTTTTGTTAAATTATTTTTATTTCTTTTATTAATGGAATATTGATAATGCGATGGCGAGATAATATCCAAAAATAATGTCAATAAGCGGATGTTTGATCAAAAATATCGGCTAATATTAAATACCTTAAACAACATTCAAAAAATCTAGAAGATATTAAGTAAAGGTATGAAGTTATAGTAGTAAAAAAGGTAAAACAGAGCTGAGGGCTAAGTTTAGGAATAGTTAGACCTGCCATATGTCTCGATCTCGAGGAAGCTTCCTTCGTCCTGCTATATATTATGTCAAATAATTTTAAAAAAACCCTGACTAAATATCTCGCCTAAGGGTTAAATTTCTAAAATTAAAAAAAATTATCAAAAATCAATATGTTTTCAATAAGTGTTATAAAAAAAAAATACTTCATATTTTATCAAATTTTTTCTATTTCATTTTGCGCTATCTTATCAAAGTAAAATTAATTTAACTCTGGTTGTTAAACTTTAAAACATATTGTAATTGTAAATATTACTAATGTGAACTCTTGATAATAAATATTATTTCATTATGCAGATAATGCCAATGTTAATTTTGGTAAGAATCAAAGCATAATTAAGGAAACTCATCAGATTTATTAATTTTGCCAGTAAGCTCTATTTTTTGCAACATTTTGGAAAATGCATTTAAAAAAAGGGTAAACTATCTTACTGTTTGATATATAATGAATAACTATAAGTGCTATAAATATATTTCAATAGATTAATAAATAAAGTAAAAACGATTATAAAATTAGAGATATGTATGAGGAAGAAAGAAGGGTATACCCTAAGATATGGTTATTTCTTTTAAATTTATAGCTCTTGAAAACTTATTTTTTATTATTGAAGCATCTACAATCATTTTACACTTTTAATATGATATTAGGAGAAGATAATCTAGGGCTTGTTTCTAAGTAGCCATTTATATCATAAATAAAAAGTTTGGATTAAATGAAGAAATAATAATTAACTTATTATAGGTAATGGAAGATATGATGAACATCATAAGGACTCACTATTTACCGATGACCCTAGCAAGGGAAGATAAAAAGCCATCGGGGTAAGATGGCAAATAAGATTTAACCCAGAAATCAACAAATTATTTCATTTTTATTGTAAAAAAATTGATTATAGCAAATTATTAATATTTAGAAATTACTCTTCACAATAAAGATACATATAAAATTCTTGGCACAACTAGGATATGCTCATTCAGGAATATAAATATAAACTAAAGGTTTTCAATAGGGGAATTTTATCCGAACGCGTGCCCTAAATAGTTTAAAAAGATTTTTAATCTCACCCACCCGACCATAGTTTTTATCTAAATTCATTCACCCACTCATTTATCAAATTTTTATTCAAACCGCTCGCCCAGTGATTAATAATTATTTATTAGTTGGTTTGCCAACGTATTTTTAACTAAACCAATAAAGAGCAATAATAAAAAAAATAGTTTTTAATAAATATAAGTGCTTTTTGCTCATTTCGCACATAAAACATTTTAAATGCACCCCTCCACCCAATAATAAGTTTCAATTTGCTCATCCATACTCCCTAACAGTAAGATCGAGCAAGGACATGCGGGCTAAACTCCAACCTTTTGAAGATGATATGATATCTAATTGAAACTATTCAAAATTGGCTTAGAAAAACCCTACTTATCTTCCTTCTCCTATTATATTTCAATAAAGATCTTGCCCCATGTGATAAAAGTACCATATTTTGATATGATAGTGAGTTGACTCCATAGATTCTTAAAAGATTTGCATCAGCATATTTGGATTCACTAGGAATAACATTATCCAAAAGGGTCTCATCCCTAAAACTATCATTACAAATATATTTGTCCAAAATATCAAGCGTAAGGAGTCGATTCTACAGACAGAAAGCCCATTTAGAAGATTTTGTAGAGTTGTTGACCTAAAAAAATTCTTGCTTCACACATTTGTCATTTTACCCCTTGCCGTATATCCACAAGGGTAGTGAGGATCATTTGATAGCTTAGACATAGAGGTATTTATCCTATATAAAATTCAAATGAATAGGTTTGTATCAAAACAAAAAAATACCAAATTGAAAAGTTGGTGAAAAAGCGCTGAAGATGAACATATGGTGGATAATATATGTATAGAAATACATCTTTCCAAATATATAAAAATTTCTCTAAAGGTAAATGTTATACAGACGTTTTCCTTTTTACTCAACCTGCCGTTAGCCATACGCCCTACTATGAATTATTCTTCATCATTTATCATTTCGGATTTGCAAAATTATCTATGATGGTGTTATATTGTATGATAGTATGATGGTGATATATTGTATAATAGTAATAATTATAATGTTTTTATTTTATTTATGCTAAAGGGAGTTTAAAATATTTAAAATTTAGTTTCACTTTGTTAGGAGGGGAAGTGGGTGCTTGCATCATGTGCTACCCTCTTCACTTCATTAAGTGAATCTCAGCTATCGGCTTATGAGGGGATAAAGCGCTGAACACAATACACTGGTTATATATTTTATACAGATACAAATATTAGGTAAGTTTGAATAACACGGAAACTGTGACAAAGGTCGAATGTTTTTTTATCTATAAACATTTATGACCAAACATACTTCTTTATTTTAATTTTAATTAGTGTTTGCAACGGTCCTGTCTCGCCCCGTCCGGTCCTTCTTTTAAAAATGAGACCCGACCTATGGACCGTTAAGTCAAGTGAGACCAGATCGTGGGACCATCGGTATAGTCCAGTCAGTCCGGTCTTGTCTAAAAAATGTTATTTTGTTAAGCTATAAAAGTTTTATTCTGCATTAAATTTATTAAAAATGAAATGCGTTAAATTACCAATATTTTAATTATATCAGCAAATCATTTTTATTATATAAAAAATTTTGATTTTACAAAATTCCCGGCTTAAAAAAGAATTTTAATTCAGCAAAAATTTTTAAAGTTGGTTCTTTTTTATGGTAATGCTTTATGATTATTTAAAACTACAAAATATGGATTTTTTATATTACTATTTCTATTCTTTTAATTTATAAATTGAATTTAAACCAATATAAACCAATACCAATACAAAAAATAGAAAATATTATTTAAACCAATACCAATAAAATATTTCGTTTATCATGGGTTTTTAAATCCCAGCCCTAATCATAACAATATGTAGGTTTATTTGATGAAGTTTTTATACATATATATTTAAATTTTTGAGCTCTCGATTTGATATATACACATATATATATGCATAATTTACTTCTGCTTGAAGAATTGGATAATATTTGGAGACATATTTTACATGTTTTCCAGAATTATCCTTTCTTAAAAATTTACATAATTCTTCAACATCTTACAAATTTGAATTTAATCGATTTTTTTTTTATTTGCACTACTAAACTAATACTATTTTCTAAATCAATAGTTATTCTTTCACCCCTAGAAGAAGGTGGTGGTTAAATAATATTATCATATTCTATGATTTCAATTTCCATTTACATTTCTAAAAATAAAAATAAAATACTACCTACTAAATTAAATTACATGATGAATAAATTGAAATGGGAAGAATATAAAAAGTAAACGATGAATGAGATATTATAAAGTGTTAGGCATTAAATAATCATGTCTTAGGAAACATTCATAGTAAACTTTTATCTTTTTAATTGAGCTTTGGTCGGACCGGACCGGACCCTTGCAAACACTAATTTTAATCATTAATATCTTTCCTAAAGAAAACTTCTTAAAACTGAAATGTTTATAATGGTTAAATTATAAAAGAAAATACTGTATATCTATATTAAATTAAATTTCTTCATTTTTATCAATCTTATTTTTGGATATATTATAAAATCTAAAACTTAGTAACATATTCTTTAAGAATGAATTCATATTTCTAATCCTGATAAAAAATAAAGTTGCATTATAGTATATACCAGCTTGGAAAGAACTATTAAAGATGTAAACGAAAACATTGACAACAGCAATCGAATGGGCTACTTGAATAGAGGTGGCATGCAACCACGTTGGTAGCCTATTGCGGTAATCGAATATCACTATGAAAGCGTATTGTCCCCATAGTATAAACACTGTAGCAAAATGGGCACATAGTGTTTTAGCTAGTTTGATTTCTTGCTTCCATCTTCTCCTACTCATCGATGTGTAAGTTTTGAATGGATAATTTTTCGGTTGGGTGTTCATGTTTTGTCGAATTTTTCGGACGTGTAAGAAAAGCATGACATAACAAATAAATATAGTGCTCATCGGGATGAAAACATAGACTATAGCAAAGTAAAGGGTGTATCCTATGGAATATGTCCTGTCCCATATACAGATCATGGCTTTGATGTCTAAAACGTTCCTTCCCCAACCCACCTTTTAATTATAGGGTTATTAAGCTATAATCAAAATTATTTTATAATTAAACTCTACACTATGACAAAGCTACAACTATTCTTAATATTCTCATAAGAACTTATAATCAAAAGTTCTCCTTATATTTTATTTAGAATTTCCTTGAACCCTGTAAAAATATACGTAGAGCTACCATAAAATATAAATATGATTATTTAAGGATTTTATAAATAAATATTTTATAAGTTTTAAGTAATCATTTTTAAGTCTTAGGTTTTAAATAACCACTCATTTTTTTGTATAATAATATCATGAAAATATCTACAGCTTCTCTATATTAGGCCCAACCATAAACATTTTAGCACATATTACTTAGATGCTGCAAATAATATTTCTCTCAAAATATATAATTAGGGAATTCTGAACATTGTTTTAAAGAAAATTATTTTATTCCAAATTTTATAAATTTAAACATATTCCAACCCATACATTTGGTGGGAATTGAAGCAGAAATCCTACGATCCATATGAGGATACAAGCCATGCTAGTAGCCCTCCATGTTGCATTATTCATAAAGGTCGCAGGATAACGAATAGAGATATACCTTTATTTTATTTATCCAAAAAATAAAACATATACTATTTATATTGAAAATAAATAACTATAGCTTATAACCGATAAAATTGAACCCCTTGGAAGAGGAATAGAAACCTGGAGCTCCATTAAAAGTATAATTATATACTTGTATATATTGTTCAAAATGCTATGTGATTCATTTTAGAAGGATTTTATTTTATGTTTGGTGCTTGCCGGAATCCCCGTGGACCCTAACCATTTATATCGACAACATTCAGCTCAACAATATTTATTTTAATTAAATGCCCAAAAATACAATGCACATGGTAAATTATATTTTTATAGTTATTTTCAGAGGAATTTGTACTAAATGCTTGTTTCTGTTTTTAAATTTGAGGGTTTCCACATGTTCGCATGAACATTTATAAAAAAAAGTCAAATGAGCTAAAAATGATCACTTAAATGTTTGAAGCGATTATATTATTGTATTATTTTGCACGATTTTATGTACGAATGACAATTTTAGATTTTAAATGATAATAAACAATATTATTTTAATATATAATGAAATAAATTGATATTTAATTCATAGTTTATATTGAAATATGTCTAATATTACATATAGGTAAATTCATAATTTTAAATTTTAAATATTCTAAAAATTACCACTTTTTCCCCTCATGTAGTAAAGAAATGCATTATCGATTTCATTTACAAAGATGTTCTATTCAATTATTTGTATTTGTAAGGATAATTGAAATGTTTAAATTCTAAAGGTAATTGAAAGGTTTAAATTGTAAGCAAATTAAATGACAATTATATGAAATAATTATTGATGGTATGTAAATTTTAGTAGTATAAATAGTTAAATCGAAAATGTAATAATTCAAGAAAAAGAAAAGAGAAAGTTATATAATTTTGATTATATATTTTGATTTTATACGTTTTACTATATATTTCTTTTCAAAAATGTATAAATTATGATAATATTGATATTGATATAATTTTGAAAAGAAATGACAAAACACTTAAATATTAAAACAACAATATATGTTTAACCTTATTAAATATTCTTTTTTTTTTTAATATAAGACAATATAATTAATATTTGTATATATATTTATATACATATAAAAAAAACATTTTAAAAAAATAAATAAATATAGTATTGGAGGATATGTTTGTGACGGTGTTAAAAAAAAAATAAAAAAAAATATATTGAGGTTAGGAAGGATAATCTTGTGGGGAGAGACTGCTTATGAAGCTAATATAATTAGCCTTGTGTATTGCGATGGAGAGCCTTTGCCTTAAGAAGAAGCCCTCGCGGGGTTCACCGGTTAGTTGACGAATGTGGGAGCCAAGTTCCTTGAAAAAGGATAAGGCATATTTCCCAAAAGTAGTAAGGGTAGTGGAAATAATGGGGATGAAAATATATTCTTGAGAGATTTGTTATTTTGGAATGATTTTGATTAACTATATTTTAATAAATTAATTTGTCATCATCAATACTTGTTCATAATATTCAAGACATGTTTTAAACACTATCGAAAAACACGTTGTTTAAAAAAATCATTGTTTCAATATTATTCTACTTCCCTAAACTTTTTACTATGTGCAAAACCAAGTTGTTTAAATTTTTTTATTCTCATTGAGTAAAGAGAAGAGTCACTATCAATAAGGGTACCTAAAGACCTCCAAGATAATGGGGAAGGGAATGCACCTAAGTGTACACCACTCCCATCTCCCCCTAGAAAAGTTGTGGCTACCCCTATGATTAAACACTCCTATTTTTATATATATGGTTGCTTTTTATTTAATTAATGTATATTATAAGTTCAGGCACTTCTACCCTGGCGGGTGGGGGAATATGACGATATGTGTCATTCATTGTGTCATTCATTGAAGAGGGATAAGAGGAAGTATGATTTTGCTGTCATTAGCTTAGAAAAGTGTAGAAGTGCCGCTCTATCATTAAATTCGTTCAAATTTTAACATCATCTCCAAAAATACAGTATTATAAAGTAACACTCCATTTATTTAGGTATGATGTTATTTTAATAAAATTATGTAAAATTTTATTCATTTATGCATATAATTTTTCCATTAACCTGGTAATTGCAATAACAGCGTGGGTTAAAAGTTGTACAACACATACGGTAAGGCAAACATTCGCAACAAAATTGCATAATGAATGATTTTGGAGAAAGACTTGATGGCCTATCGTTAGACCTTTTAATAAATAAATAAATAAAATTGTATAATGATTTTTAGTTTAGTCAAATAACATCTCTGAAATTGTAAAAGAAAGCATTATAGTTGCATAACTTTTTAAAATTTAACTATTAAAAACTGTTTTGTCATATTAACATTAAATAATACTAAATAGAGGAAATTGAGGTAAAGCGATTGATGGGGTAACAATGTTAACGCGAATAACTATTTAAGCCTCGAGGATGAAGACCTTAAATTTGGTGTAAAGAAGTATACTTTTATATCTAATCTAATTCCTTACCTATGTTTATCTTTTGAAAAACTTTCCTGGTTTGACATATTTTGCCCAAAACTTACTTTTTACCCCAAATTTAAAAACCACTCTCTAGTTCATTTTCTCTGCAAATTATATTTAGAGCAATAATTAAAAAATTTGTATACATGTTCCTAAATGTTATAGCTATAAAATAAAATAAAAGTTATAGGAAATTTATATCACTTAATAACAATTTGTATAATATAATCACCTTGGGGTAAAATTGTTATGAATAAAAAGATTAAAATATTCGGTCTGTATAAAAGCCTAGACCATAAAAAAAGATGTTTTTGAGCAAAAAGGAATATTAATAAATAGTTAGTGTGTTGGAGTAAAATTTTAATTATGGTCGTAAAGGGGAAGAATAGTTTAAATGTGTAATTAGCACACTCTAAATATGCTGTTGATAAAACAAATTTACATTCCCGTATTGGAATGATTAGTTTATATCTAAAGGTGATGAATAAAAATTGCAATATTGGTTCAATAAAACAATAAAGTTATGTTCAATTTTATTTTAGCCACTTTACCCTAAGGCTTAGCAATTTTACCGTATGGGGCCAAGAGAGCGAAATTGGCAGGTCTATGACCAACGTGCTAATAAAGATAAAGAGAGATTATAGATAGAGATCTACACATTTTTTTTATTTTGGATATGAGAGATTTAGCTACATGTAAATCTATAATATGTTTTCATTTCAGAATTTTATGGTAAAAATTCAAAATACCAATCGTTTTACCACGATCATTAAAATTATGAAATAAATTACTTAAGCCTGAAACTCCGAGAGTGGGAATATTTTCTCGGCAAATGTAAGCAAATTAAATCGATAGAATATTATAATTGTTATGAAGTAGACATTTTCCAGAAAAATCATAGGAATTCGATGTTAAAATTTTTTATCGGAATTTTCAGCAGGCTAGTATAGAAATCAAGCAAATGAGATAATTAATATATATCTTAAAACAAATTAGGAAATTTGAAAAATTTAGCTTTATACTTTTAAAGCAAACCTCTTGACGAAATCATGCCTTCATATCTAATATATACCAACTTCACTATCCAATATCAGGCATTAAACTTTAGATTCATTTTATTTTAACTAATTTTAAATATCAATTCAGTAAATAACTATTTACCGATATAGTATTTAGTAACAATAATCCCTGATTATTTCCAAATCTACGACTTGATCCGTATAACTATTTTGAACAATTTGTTCGGTCCAAAAAAAATTTCCCTACCCACGGGTTTGGCTTTTGGACGAACCTTCCTATAATCAATAGGGAAAATCTCGGTAAAGCGATGGGAAACAATGTTAACGCGAATTTTCTTTTAACCCTTGTGCATAAAAACCCTAAATTTTGATAGTTGTATTTTTATATATGGTAAATTCCATGACAAATCAACAAAAAATAAACGATTTTCAACCCGACCCTTTTTCTAAAATTTTTACTATTTGCATTTATTGTAACTGAGAAAAAAATAAAATTTTAGCCTCCAACCTCAAACAGCGGCTGAGACATCGATCTCAAAAGGTCAAAAAAAACGAGTCATTTTGGGCAAAGTTTTCTCCCTTTAATTTAAAATATCCTTAGATATAATTGAGCTAAAAGTCATTTAAATTTCTTTAATAGCCTAATAGTAAGTAGGCCTTTAAAGTTATATAATGTAAAATATTGTTAAAAAATTTGAAATATTAAAAACTGGAGATAGAAACCGGAAATAGTCATAAAATCAAATCGGTATTTTTTATAAATAGCTACTGGATTAATTAATAAATGTTCAAGATTTCAAATTATGCCGAGCATTAGGAGATATGGCATTCTAATCATTAAAAGAATAGTTATTTGTGATCAGGGAATTTTTTTTGGGAGGATGGGAAGGGGGGGGGGGCTTTGGTCAATTTATTTGATAAATTAAATTCTCCTCATAAAAATAACTAAAAAATACAAATCACTTCTTGATTATAATTTATTGAAGACAAAATTTAATTTTTATATATTGCAAATTCAATAATTTTCACAATATGAAACTAATTTAATTTTGCCTAAGTGGTATAAAAGCATAAAACTTTTGTATTCCGGAAAGGTTTGACCTAAACAAAAATATTTTTTCATATTCATCATCTTTTATATATAATTAAATGAATCTAATGTGTATAATATTTAATTCTCACATGGATACTGAAGGTAACACTTTCTGCTAACCTTTTAGTAATGTTTGCCATGGGCTATTACGAAAAAAGATCATTCCGCTTTGATTCCAAATTCAAGTCCGTGATGGCTTAGATGATAAATTTTATTCATATTGATTACTATACAATCAGAAAAAAAATATTTTTGAAAATTTTTAAATTTGATTTTAAGAAAACCATTTATTTTAGTTTACAAAAAAAAGAATTAAAGCTCACTTTTATATCAATGAATTTCTTTAAAATTAAAATATAATTCATTATGATATCAAAATCAGTATTTTCTTCAGTTGGTTCTCTCTTTTAACTTTTATTGATATAAAACGGTTTTTACAAGGCATCATACGACTCTTTTAATCCGAATTATGAAATTTTCGAATAACATCTATATAATAATCTCGAAAAACACTTTCAGACTTTATAATATTTGAAGATATAACACCCTTTTTCTTGACCAATTTCTTTGTTATCCTTTGCCAATAATTCAGTCGTAGAAAATTATAGCCTCCCGGCCCTAGGCCCGGATACGGTCGTGCCTTATTTTAATTTTTTTAAATATACCCGGGCCAGTCTAGAAAATTTTTTTAACCAAGACCGGGCCAGGCCTTTTTTATAGAAATACCCGGGCCAGTCAGAATATTTTAAATTCTATTATTATTATTATCTATATTAAAAATAAATATTTTACATTTAAAAAAAATCCAGGCCGCTCCTAAATTTTTTTAAGGCCGGGCTATGCGAATGGTACCTCTGCAGGTCTCTGATTTAAATATATAAAATATTTAAAAGATTTTAGCTTAAATATATCACAATTAATGATTTATCAAATATTTATTACAAATTTTTAAATCGACTAATGATTAAAATGCCATATCTCCTAAAGCTGTGCTCAGCTAAACTTGAAAATTTGCACATTTATTAGTTAATTCTGTAGCTATTCATTGAGAAAAATAAATAATATAGATTTAATTTTATGACCATTTCCGGTTTTCTATTTCCGTTTGACATTTAAAATTTTTTAACAATATTTAGCATACTTTAAAAGCTTGCCATATTTTTTCAACCTTTAGAGGTAACTCATGTTGATTTGTCATGGAATTCAATTCATCATATATTTTATAAATTTGTTAATTTTTGAAAATCTTCCTGATGATTTGGTATATTTTGCCAAAAAATTGTTTTATGTAAAAATTACAAAAATCCCCCTCTAATTTCTTTTCCTGTTGGCAAATTATATTAAGGCTTATTTGTATACATGTTTCTTAAAGTCTTAGCTATAATTGAAATTTATTTGAAGCTTATGGAGCTTAATTAGAAGTCTCGCAATAGCAATTTGTATAATATATATCAGGGTAAAACTGTTATATGCAAAACTGTTAAAATATTCTGCCTGATATCTGATAAAGAGAATTTGGAAATTTAAAACAAACATTAATCATTATTTTTTGTTTTTTAAATTTTTTTTAGAATATGTTATTTTTGATAATTTATTTATATTTCCTTATTCTATTGATTATTTTATGTTTAAAAGTATTTAATAGATATCAATTGCTAGTATTTAGTATATTAAAAAATTTAGGTTGTGTTCAAATGTTAACCTCTTTAGCCCAGTGCTTAGCCATTTTAATTTTAACCTGGGTATGCGGTAAGCGAAAATGAAATACATTACATAATTAATCATAACTCCTAAAGTCATGTTTTTTTATTTTGTAGGTGAAATTGGGTTACATAAAAATTTAAAATTTATTCTGTTTTGCCTTTGTTTAATATTTTTATTTATTATAAAAATGCGAAATAATTTTTTATCTCGGTTTTCTTTATAAAAGATTTTCATGAATTGTAATGTGTCCCTGTTTAAGAAAAAATGATAATGGTTTGCCAGAAACCATGATTAAAGCTAATATTGTAGTACAACTTAGAAAAAAGATATAATGACCAAGAATTTCACTAATACGATTGTGGATGGGTAATTTAGCAAATTATTGTCCAAAAGAAAGTTTTACAAAGAAGTGACATATGGAGAGGTACCGAATCCTCTCATATGGTAAAAAGGTTACGTATTAATTAACTCCTCTGTCAAGTAAGTCTCTCATCAGAATGGGTTTGATCGGTTGGAAAAGTTCTTTCTTAAACTAGAAATCGAATAAAGAATGAGAGATTGATATTTATCAGACATAATCTATATTTAAAGGATCACACTAATAGGGCATCATGTTCAGGATATCAGCAAGAAAGTTTAGTATCAAATGATGTTATTCCAATTTGGTTCCGTGAAGATGTGGATTCTATTTAAGATGCTTCTTTGTATTCTTGTCATTATTTTTTAATTTTCTTATTTTTCCTCATATCCACTAATTTAATAAAGTTATTCAAGAAAAATTGAAAAGTTTAAGCTGTATTTTGTTGTGATTATTTTTTAATTTCCATTGATTGCCCATAATTTCTCCTTATTTCCCTAATTTTCCTGGGAAAATTTCCATTCAACATATTTCCCGGCGTAATTTAAATTCCTAATTACTGATAATAATAATTTTTTTTAGAAATACGAGCTATACTGATATCTGATCCCCAGTGCAGAGCAATTTATTGAAAAATTGACTTGATCGCAAAGAAAATTAAACCTTTATTTATGAATAATATTTTAATTAACATTTTTTATCATTAAATAATGTTTAAATTTTATGATATCTTACTGTTATTATTTGTATATAAGTTTTCAATTGAGAATAAAAATTTGTTAGAGAATTCTAGCGCTTTGACTTTACTTTAAAATACTTAATGAAAGAAAACTTTGGTATTCAACTATAATATTTTTAATTTTTATTTTCTATAATTAAAATTTTTAAAAAAATATATTGCTTTATATTCTCGGAATCAATAGAAAGCTCTAACACGATGGCAGTACAAAATGATTTAAGAATGAAATTCTAAAACCTGTAATTGATGTAGAACTGATAAAGGTAACGATTACTAGATCGGCTATGGATAAATTTATTATGAATAAATTCAGCGGTTTCCACAAATTTTTGTTAGTATATATGCCTCCAATGATCTAAAAATTTAAGATAAAAAATGATAAAATATAAAATAAATAATTTCTATCAAATTAGTAAGAGCTTAAATTATACTAATTACTGTTAAAATTTTGTCCAGCCTTTAAATAATAAATAGAGTTTGAAATCGAAACTATCCAAAATGTTTGAAACGGTGTAAAATCTAATAAATAGATCAGAATTCAGCACTTGTATCTAAGAAAACTTTTTTTACCCTGTGAGCAGGGGATATTGTTGTCTCAAGGGAGGTAATTTCTTAAACAATTTTAAAACTAATAATCTTTGATATTTGAAATTTAACCCATAATTTATATTAATAAAATGCTTCAATGGTTCTAACATTTCTAGAAATATGTTCATAAAAAGTTTAAACGTAAATTTAAGTTTTAACACTTCAAGAGTCACTTTTTAATTTTTTCTAATATTTCAGACTAAATATCAATTTAAAATAGAAATATTGAAATATTTATTATTTAATATTTTGATATTAAAATTTATTTAATGAGAAGATCTCACGTTTTGGAGAGTGCATATTAGCCATATTTATTTTTAATAAAAAAAAATCCAACTGAAGCCACAGACAATATGAAGCTGGTTGACTTATTTTTTGTAAATTATATGACAGTTTTAAGTGGCAGCAAGTTCTGTTGGGTGATATATATAATATTCACTTTCTCTAATTTTCGGCAGGTCTGTGACCACGTGCTAGATAGGATAAGATGAACCTGCTAATATAACATGTTTGACAATGTATTTTCATTTATTTACTAAGGATTAATATTTTTATATAAAAAGTCTAAAAATAAAGAAGCGCTATGACATGCACCGCGAAAGGATAATCGGGGTTTAAATCGCCTATAATTTCCATATTTTTAATATTATGGTAAGTACTATATAACAATAGATTCAATAGATGCCTTACTTTTACAAGTGTATGCTATTAATGACACTCTCAGTATTTATTTTTTAAAAAATTTAATTTATTTTTTTTTGTAAAAGTGTTTATTTTGACCAACAAGTTCTGTGAGATATAATATATTGGAATGCCATTTTGATTTCTTAAGATTAATATTTGGGAAATGATGTATAACGTTGAACGTTATTGATTTTCTATGTTATTAAAACATAGATAACGTTGTAATTTTATATATACACTACCGGCCATAAATGATTGCCCACCCTGTATTTTCTTAACATATTTCTTAAAATAAGACAAATAACACACAATATGAGATTTATCGAATTTATTTATAAGTTTACATATGATTGCATAAAATTACAAAAAATAAAAGACATAACAATTAATTAAGATCAAATTTTGGTCTCGTCAATATGACCACTTTTATTCTTAATAATTGCTGCAAAAATTTTTGGTAATTTTTCCATGAGATTTTTGAAATATTCGGAACTGATATTGTTCCACTCTCTGCAATACTTCCCAAAGGTGCGAACGAGAGGTAAGTGAGCTTTTTCACGCTTGTCGATCAAGGTGATTTCAAATAAGTTCGATTGGATTGTGATCGGGAGACTGGGATGGCCAAGTCATCAACTCGAAAATACCGTGTTGTTGTAGATTTTGTAAATAATCTTTGCATAGCCTGGATGTATGCTTTGAGTCATTATCTTGTTGAAAATTCCCGATCAAACACTTTCCTGATGAAATCACATGGTCCTCGAGGATTTGCCGGTATCTCTCATTGTTAAGAATTCCTTTAATTTTGACAATGTCGGCGGTTTCCCGCCAAAGCACCCCTACACAGACCCTCCCCCAAATTTGACTGTAGGAATTATGCAGAGATCGCTCATTCGCTCTCCAGCTGAGCGGCGGATATATTGCCTTCTTTTAGAACCGAATATTTTAAATTTTGACTCATCACTCCATAAGACGTGGTACCAGTTGGCAGATGTCCAAAATTAATGTTTTCGTGCCCAGTCTAATCGCTTGAGTTTAATTTTTTTCTCAAGAGTGGCTTTTTGACCGCTGTCCTATCATAGAGTTCAGAGCTCCTAAGGCGCCTTTTCACAGTTGTGACACTTATCGGGTTTTCCCAAATCAGATTAATCTCAGCAGCTATCTCTGAGGCGACAAGGCGTCGATTGTTTACTGATCCTTGCTATATACCTATCATCGCTTAAAGTCGTTTTGCGGGGTCTTCTAGGCCTCTTTGGATTCGATATTGTATTATTGTTGCGTAATCTTTTAAGTATACAATCGACTGTTCGTCGAGCTAGGGTTAATTTTCTGGCAATTCGGGGATTACTTTTACCACTTATGTGTAAAATAATTATTTTGCATTTAGTTGGAATAGAAATTTCTTTTCTTTTAATCATTTTGGTCGAGTGTTCGTTAAAATATTTATAAAGATTGAAAGTTTCTTTGCCATGATTTAAAACAAAAAAAAATCTAGGAATTTTTTTTAAATAATTAAAAATAGGTATTAATAAGCAGATTAAAATGTGATTAATAACTTCCTTCCAAAAAACAATGGGCATAAAATTGTTGCTGAAAAAAACTAATAAACCCTATTTTACCAAATTGGTCATTTTTGACATGTTATTTTCAAAGACTAAAATTTCATTGAAAGATTTATAGAAATTCCGAGTTATTTATTTCTAAACATGTCTAGTGTAAAATTGCAGGGTGGGCAGAAAATTTTGATACTTCCGAGTAGCGTCTAAGCATACATCAAAATCCGATAGTTTTGAGTTAGAATCTAGCGTGGAACATGTTTTTTATAAATCCAGCTATGTGATTCTGTTTGGGGGGAGGAAGGGGGGTGATTTATATTAGATCGAATTCGATCACGTTATTCCATTAATTTAAAAATAAATGGGTCTTATTGTATTTAAATAAATTATGACCCTTGTTTAAAATGTGGACTTAAGCTCGAGGGAATAATTTGGATGCCATAAATTAAATTTATTTATTATGGTAATAATAATAATAATTTTTGGTATATTTATTTGAAATTCGAAATGAATGCTAAACATTTTTAAACAAATACAGAATAATTATAGAGATATCTTTGTCGATATTTTTTTTTAATTTTAATTTTTATAAAGCTCCTAAAATATTTTATTAGTTCATAGAAAATAATATAATCCAATTAAATGATGAAGATCGATCTTAAAATATTGTTAGATGGTATTCGATTATTGTGGATAAAGTTCCTGTTAAATCCTATGTCGACGATTTTGTATTTGATATAGTTATTAAAGCCTTTCATTAATTAATGAACTTATCAACCTATTCCTAAAAAAAGATTGAATCCTCAATATCTTAGAATCTCGTTACTTTTCATCAAATTTTCATCAAATGATAGCTCACACCTATTCCTCGGGCTATGGGTAAACCCGTCATCTGGGATTATACCTGTGTTACCACTTTCCCCACATATATCATTAGCAACCCATTTACTCAAACCGAAAAAGGATAAATGAATACCAAACATTGGATAGCTTAATTTTTACTACAATTGTCATCTCAACCATTGGACATTTCGTCCCTAAACCATTTTTTAAACTTTGGCATAAACGACGAATTCTCACATTGGAGGCCAAAGAATTCCTTTTTTAAGACAAAAAATAAAAATTTACATATTCCCCCTCTCCTTTAACATAATTTGTATTTTATAACATTTTTTTGCAGTATATTTATAGTCGTTAATGTTAAAATGTAAATTTGACATCGAAATAAATAATTTGATTCCTTTATAAAGTTTGTAAAAGATATTAGATATAGTCGTAATTTATTATTTTTTTCTTCAATTTCTATAAGAGTATTTTCATTAATTTCTTCTTCCATTTAAAGAATGTGAGGTAGATAAAAATTTTAAAACAAATTAATGAATTCATGTTATAATCATTTTTTCGGGTGGGTTATGTTTTTTTTATTTATTTTTAAAAAGAAATTTTTGAATTTTTTTTAAATTGAACGTTTTATAAAATGTTTTATGTCTTTTCCGCTATTTTTTGAAAGTCGAGACTCGTTCCAAAGATCTTATGCCAGCGTGGGATACTCCCTAAAGACCATATAAAGAGATGGGGTCGTTGAAAGCATTTATCCATTGACCCCCTCCTTCAAATATAATTTATTAGATATTTTAATTCTATTATAAATTCATAAATTCATAAATTATTTTAAATATTTTATTAATCAAATATAAAATTTTTTTTTAATTTACCGCGATATTTCCCAATGGTCCGATCATAATACATATTGCTAGCATGGATATAAGTCCAATTGTTAAGCCCCTGTGTTCTACAAATGAATCATAATCCTTATAATATTCAGCTAGAAAACTGTGATTATAAACGAAATTTTTGCTGAATATCACGTTATGCATTTGAGGTTTAAAAGTTTATATTTTTAGAATATTTATTTTTAAAATCCCCTCTCATCATTAAAGTTCTTTTGTTTTAATTTATTTTAACATATTTGATATATTAAGAATTCAAAAATTTTATCAATTTTTTTATAATATCTAATTTTGGTGTTTATAATTATTATTCTAATAAAAATAATATTAAATTTTTGGGGGTTTTTAATTAATGTCAAAATTGTGAAAGGAAAAAAGGATTCATTTAGAAAATATATACTCTAAAATTATAATATATATATTAATTATGAAAAATATTTATTTTTTAAATTAAAAACAATATACCGTTTACTTTTTTTTATAGTGTGGGATGTGTAACGCAAGAAAAATTTGAATTTCCCCTCAGTCATTGTTTCCCCAATTTTTAACATTTTTTAAATAATTTTTTCTCTCATCAATTTTCCAATTAATTATCTAGATTAACTATATATATAATTATTTATGACATATGCTTGAATTTGTACATTAAACATGTTTTAAAATTATTTTTAGCATAGTATATTAGCTTTAATAAATTAAGTAGATTATATTTGTCATTATAATTTATTTTTGGCAAACCAATGTATACAAGAGATTATAAAATCCATTTTTTAAAAAAATTAAATTAGGTGAATTATTATATTTGACATTGATCTTATCCGAAATTACGCTAATTTATCTAAAAAAAATTCATATCCCTTTATCAAAAATAATTAATTATACCGGATCTAACATTAATATATTAAAAAATGTTTTTTTCCGTTAAAAGGTTATAACTCCTAAAATAATCAATTTAGTGGATATTAAATACTTAATCAATGTACTTTAGAGGTCTGAAAAGCTCGGCCGATGCAACGTCTTAAATTTTTTTATTTGGGACAGAGGGAAAGAAATTAACGGGCCTGGCAAATTTTTTAAATATATATTTGATGAATTTTGGTATTTCATAGAAGTGGTAATCCATAAAGTATAGCGTTTTTAATTTAGCCATCCTATTATAAATACTTGTTATTTTTGGCGTTCAGCAACATATATTTCGGTTTAGGAATAAAAAAATTGAGAATTGGGCTAGAACCAAGCTAGACAACCACCTAATTTAATTAAAAAATGAAATAGGACCGGATATGGCAAAATCTATCCGAACCGAGCCAAAACAAAATTCTCATCGTGCTGGGTTTAAAAATTTCAGACCTGTAAAGTACCTACGATGATATCAAGGGTAATTATGCTAAATTAATGAGTAACAAGGTAGGAGTTACGAAATTGATATCCTATAGTACATAAAAAATTTCTAATATCTGTATAAATATTATAGTTCTTTTTTAAATTAATTATTTATATTTAATATTTTTTAAAGATTTTATAATCTCTATATACGTTGTTTGGCCAAGAATCAATTATGATAACATAAACACCATGTAGTACATCAATATTAATGAATTTGAAAAACTAGAAACATAATCATACCTTACAGAATGTTCCTATTACTATTTTAACTAACAATAGTATTCAAAATTAAAAAAAATTGAACAAAAAAATATTCATAAATTCTTTCTAGTCATTCATGATCAGTAATAGTGCGGCCCTTCGCTTAATCATTTATCCTAAAAGTGTCAGCTAAATAAGTAAATGTAATAGTAAATTAGATAATTTATAAATGAGCAAAAATACTAGCAAATTAGCGAAAAGTCATTTCGCTTTGCCGAAAGACCAAATTTAATAGAAAATACTCAAATTATATAATAAATGAGCAAGTATAATAGTAAATTAGAAATTTGATAGTAAATGACAAATTACTAATAAATTATCAAAATGTCAGTTCGCCTAAAAGTGCCAAAAAGTGTCAAACGAGCAAATTGAATACAAATACCAAAATTATATAATAAATAAGTATTCGTAATAGTAAATTAAAAAATTTAATAGTAAATGAGCAAAAATGTCAATTAGCAAAATACCATTTCGCTTAGCCAAAGGACCAAATTTAATAGAAAATACCCAAATTATACAATAAATGAGCAAATGTAATAGTAAATTAGAAAATTTGATAGTAAATGACAAAAATACCAAAAATCAGCAAAATGCCGCTACTAAAACTAAAAGGTTCCAAACTTTTACTTTCCTACAGCGCTTATAATTTTTTCACCTTCCTTTATCCTAATTTATCAATATTCCAATATAAAAAAAACTTTGATCAGATCAATCTTTGTTTATAAAATTAAATTTGTTTGGGAATTTTTAAAGAATAATTTATTAGGATGGGATTGGTCAGCGTCAGATGATGTGACATGAAGCAAGATGGAGGTGAAGCAAGATGGAGGACTATAGTATATATATCTATATGAATAAGTAACAATCTAAACTAGAATTCTTATTTTTTAGTATTTAGACCGTGTCCTGATTCGTTTAATTGCTTGCTAAACTAGGCTATTTATATATACTTCTCCTAAGTAGTCTAAAAAGAGAGGGTATTTAGATTTACGCAAGTAATGTATCTTTATAACTGTCCAAACCAAAAATATTTATTTAATGTACACACTTAAGGGTTTTTAGTTCAAAATCTGTTTGGACTTGGACAGAAATGAGTTTCAAAATAAAACGAACTAGTAGAACACGGCCTAGTAGTGATTTATTCTGCAAATTACAAATTATTAATATTTAATATTTTGTATGCATTAGTAATAAATAGAACAATCGATCTATTTTAAGATATATTTATCTTATTTACTCATGTAAATTACCCCAAGGCATGAATAGCCTGCTAGGTTTCTATATTAAATGATTAGGGTAGCTTTCAGTGAGAAAATGTATTTTTATTAGATTAGAAACCTGCCAACCCTTCGGTAAACAGATCTTATAGGATGCAACGTAAATCGGGAGTTTGCTTCTAAACAAATTATCCCCTACGTCATGGAAAAAACTATTAGCATCATCATTCAATGAAGATTTTGAGCGTCCCAATGGAAAACAAAATTTTTATCTTACGATTTTTGAGGGTATTATCACTGACCTTTTATCTAACTTGTAAAATATCTGGGGGTTTTTTATGGTATATACATGAATTATAAATCATTATTGTTCGGTATCGGAAAGAAGAATCAGAAAGAACAAACTTTATTTTTTTGGAACAGGTTCCAACAGAAGTGTAATTAATTTATATATATATATATTTGTTTAAAATGTTATATATTTATTTTAGTTGAATCACTCTTATTAACCAGATTCAAAACTCGTTTTAAAATCAAAGATTGGTAATAATTGAAATGGCAGTCAAGATTAAAGGTCTGCAACAAATAATGTAAGAAATTTTGTTTTAGCCTGCCTACTTATTTTTAAATTGGTTTGGCTTTATCCTTAAACAAAAAATATTCAATAAATAAAAATATATAACTTTTAATGTAATATTATCCCATCCTGCTCATTATCCTTATATGGCGTTTCTCAAGAAACCATTAATAACATAAAATCTTAAAAATCGATGAATATGGTAATATATAAGATTTTAAGGATTCGGGAATCAAAACTGGAAAAGCAGGTTACATGATTTTTTCATTCTCAAGCCACTTTTACAGAAAAATTAATGTAAAAATCATAAATATAATTACACAATTATAAGATTAACATTTATTGATCCTACAGCCATGATTATATTTGTATAAATCATAAATAAGGAAAATAGAAGCATAATATTAATATTATATAAAAGATATTTAGGTAGAGTTTATTGAATGCCAAACATAAGTTATAGAAAATATAATATATGATTTAATAAAGTGTATAATCAGTAATTATTTTCATTAAGATACAAGCATAGTAACTTAACCCCCCCCCAACAAAATTGTAGTTGGGGGTGGGGAGTAACCCAAAAGTGTTAAATAATGGGAGGTATTTTAATAATTTAGAAGGATATATTTTGTGTAAATTTTTCTTAATTAAATATTTGCGACTTTACTATATAATATTATCTTTTTGAGTGTTTTTATAATTTTTAAAATTGCATTTAAACTCAAAAATTATAATTTATGAATAAAATCAAATGAATAAACATTAATATTGTGATTAAACATAATTAAATAATATTAAATAAATCTATAAAATAAGATAGCATATTATAAAGGATGAAGAGGTAAAAAAAAATAACTATCTATTGTTTGAAAAATATTTCTATTGGTTAATTGCAAATCCTTCAATCAAAAGTTTAGTTGAAAAAAAAATATGGTCCTATGTAAACAATTTTAAACAGTATAAGAAAAATAAGTCATAAACACAATCTTTATAATGTATATTAAAGAAGTGTATAGTAGATTCTTATATAAATTGTTTGGCAATTTTAACTATATCACAGTTATTATAGATAATTAAGATCGAAATATTGTTTTTTTCCTCTTGGCAAAAATAAGGATTTTTTTAAAATAAATTAAAATAATAATTTTTTGTATTATAGATAATTTATATTAAATTTTTATGAAAAACTTTTTTAAAAAATTTCCTCTTTATTTAATTTATAAAAATTCTTTTATCTTATATGAGAAACCAAAATGAATCTCTTTAACAGTTTCAATTTCTTTAGCATCCTTTTCGATAATCCCTTAGTTCATTTAAAGTCTTAAGATGCATTACGATTGTGGAGTAGCATCTCTAAGATAGCTATTTGATATTGATTCCTTGACTTTTTAAAAAAATATACATAACCAAATGTTTTAATATATGATATATATATTTATTATAGGTGAAAAAAGAAAATTAGAGGAGAGAGGCCAAAAAGATAGGGAAGAACGGGCATGGGGAGGGGGCTAGTAGAACCAAATTTATTTTAAAACGAAGTAAATCTGAAGACTCAATATCTAGTGTATATATATATACATCTCTTGACGAAAAATTATGTCAACAGTAATAATTTTATAAATAAAAATAACTAAATTTCCCATAGCATTTTATTAGGGTTTTAATATTAGTCTAAAAACTCTATTATATTATTGTAAGGTTTATATTTTAATAATATCTATCAGCATTTGTTGTTTAATCTTTTATAGCACATGATGGTTTTTGGTACATAAGACAGAGGCACGTAGGACCATTTATGCCATAGAAAAAAAAATGATTTCGTTTAGTTATTTTTGTTTTTTCATAAACTACACCAAATATTTGTTTCTTCTATAAAATTAATTACTTGATATATTATTTTTTTAAATATTTTTACAAGTTTTTAATGATAATTTAAACTGGGTAAAGGTCAGATAACTAGATTCAACGATATCAGAATTAAAATGGATGATCGATAAAATTGTAGCATTTTTTTCAAAGGGGGGCGCATGTCCGTTAGGCTTAGTCATATTGGCGTCTATGCAGATTTACGCTGACATTATATTTAGTAATTCTAATTTATATAACAATTTTTTTAAAATTATAATTCTCAGTATTATGAAATATGAATTAGCATAAATTTGTATAAAGCA